TTCCCGAGTAATGCCCTTGTCAGTGTAAGCACCCACTTAGTACCAGTTTGATTTGCTTTTTTGGATTTTAAGTTTTATAGCTTTTCAGATTGTGTCTGTGATTCCTAGATGCCCTCGTCAGGAGGAAAACTTTCTTCACCTCTTGGTCTCTTACTCCCCTTGAACTGAGCTTCATGGCTAACGCACACAGTCAAGACAATAAAAAGTAGGCCTGAAGCAAGCTCTATAGAAGCACATGATTCCAAAAAGAGGGAATGCACCATTGTACGAAGCTCCACCACAGCAAGATTCTTTAAGGCAGACCCTATATTGTATCTTGTTTTTCTGGTTTGCTCTCTCTGGCCAGCTTGTTGGAAAAATAGACCTGCAGGAGTACTAGGAGATTTTGCAGGACGATCTATCTTTTTGCCAACCTTGTCATAGTCCCAAATGGTTAAGAGTCCATCCTCAGCAGAACTACCCAATACAGATGACTTGTCCGGAGACCACTGAAAGCATAGAACAACAGCTTTATGTCCCTCAAACTTATGAATTACTGACCCAACTCCATTAGAAGTGAGATTTATTCCAATCAAACAAACGAACAATAGTATCTGCAGACCCAGTTAGGATAAGATTATCATCATGGTGGTTCTAATCAACATAATGAAGATCAGCATCATGTGCCTTTTCAACCTTGACAACAGGGCTAGTGCCAACTCGTGCATCCCATAATATGAGGTAGGAATCATCACCTACACTACAAAACTCTTGTGCACTGGATGGAGAGAACGCAACATCTTCAACTGTATCCTCATGCCCATAGAAGATACCATGAGGACCTACAGAAGGCCCCTCGGTTGATTTATCATTACCTTCCCCAGGCTTGTTCTATTTGATGATCGATCCACCAGATATATGGTCCTGGATGCTCCACAAAACCACTGATTTATCCTTTCCTCCAGAGATCACATAGGGTTCAGTAGGACACATTGCAAGAGCAAATTCAGCATTATCTTGATGTACGGTCAAAATTAAATACGGACAAGAATGTGTAACTCCAAGGACAGCATGACGGTTGGGTTGAGCTTCAACATCCCAAATAAGAACATCTGGACTATCAGTGTGTGTAGCAACAATCTTCGGTTTCTGTGGAAGTTCTCTGATTCTGTTAACCTCTCCAGGATGTATGAGGGTCTTGTACTTCTTCAAGAAAGGCGTGTGTGCTTCTTCATTAAACTGAGAGATGTGCTCAGCAATATCCTCAAGGAATTGTTCTGATGTAAATTGCCCAAAATACTCAACATAAGCAATAATTTGAATCTTTGATGTTGGTAATTTATCGAACACCTGAGAATCATCATTTTCCTCACACTTTTTACCAGTCAGCAACTGTAAAATGTGCTCCACATCTCTTTGCTGCGACGCCATTTTGGATTCCAACATACTCAACCGACTGTCCTGCTTGTGCCACCATTTAGGAGGTTTTGTGCCATCTGTTGCTTGCGTCACCAGAGTTTTAAGCTATGCAATATGCTGCTGGATTGAAGAAAGATTAGGAGATTCAACCATGGTTTGGTTCTTTGCTTCAAGCTGCAAGGAAATGATGGCTCTGATTACCAATTGTTATGTCCCTATGATAGAAGAAGAATAATCGAAGGAAATTGAGGAAATAGAGATTAAAGAAGAGAAGAAAAGGGATTCAAAAAAACTAAAAATTCATTCATTCCATTCATGCCTTCAGCCCTACCTAGAACATTGCTTATATATTTATATTGTACCAACCATTTACCAACTGGCACTACAGCTGTCTCTAACAGTTAGATTCTCTTGCAGGTGTTGTTGGTGTGACTTCCTTTATTGCTGGCAGTACCCCTCCCCTTAATTGAAATCCCTAACCCTATTTCCAATTTCCCTAATTCTCCTCCGTCTTCTCCGATTTCTATCTCTCTCATGTTCATGACATCTCTCTTCTTATTTTATTACATGTTGTTATTTATATTTACATCTATCAATTATGATCATGACTAATATGAATCTAAACATAATTTGAAAACTTGACACTGTAAGATGAACTAAAAGTAGAAGTCCAAGAAATTGAAGGTGATGGGTTAGAAGAACTTCTCTGGTCTGTAACCACCAATGATCTCCATTGATGAGTTGGTCTTTGATACCTCTAAGCTTGAAGGAGATGACTAACCCAAAATATAAGAAAAGAAGCTAAAAGTTGTTGTATAAAAAACTGGCGATAAAGTACTATTAATTTGAATAAAATTTATTAATAAACGTGACATTATCTTATTGATGGAGCATACGTTTGTAAGCGAATTGAACTAACACTAATGAATATATATTCATATTCATTCATTTAATTTTAATAGAATAGATGAAGGAACACGAACAATTAAATATATATATTTTTTCATATTCATTCGTTAAAATATATAACCTATTTAAATTTATTCATATTGGTTCATTAAATGAACATAAATGAACTATTAACTAAGGGTCTGTTTGTTTCACTGAAAACATTTTCCGGAAAATGTTTTCCGTAAAATGAATTACATTTTCTGAAAAACGTTTTACGATATTTGGAAGATGTTTAACCCTTTTTCCACTAGTTGATGAATTTTTTAAAAAATATTTATTACAAATATTAAATACAATAAATAATATTATTTATCATAAAACTTAATAATATTATTTTTTTTAAAATATTAAAATAATTTAATTATTATTAAAATATTATTTTTTATAATTTTATTAATAAAAATATTAATATTGGTATATTTTATTGAAATAAAAATATTATAAATCATATTAATTATTTATTAAAGTAATAGTGTTATATTATATTTTAAAATATTAATTAGTATATTTTAAATATCTTTATTAAAATATTATAAGATTATTATATTAATATTAAATATATAAATAATATTATTCATTTTAATAATTTAATAATATTATTAAAATAATAATATAATATCTTATATTATTATAATATAATTGATTATTTTATTATAATATTAAAAATATAATATTATATTATTAGAAATATTAATAAATATATTTTAAATATTTTAATAATTAATATTTTGATTAAAATATTTTATTAATATTAAATTCATAAAATAAAATTATTTTGTGTATTTATTTTTTGAAGTGAAAAGTTCAGACAATGACTTACGAAAAATTAGACCGTAAATCATTTTTCAAAAAACATAAAAGAAATTTTGTTGATCAAAAAAATATTTTACGTTAATCAACCAATTTTTCTCTAACTAAACAATAAAAAATAAAAAAATAAATATTTTCTGAAAAATATTTTTTCATGAAACAAATGAACCCTAAATACTTGGTTTGCTTACGGTCCAGTGGAGTATATAAAGGGACACAAATAAGGAGCAGAAGATTCTTGTTCCTTCCCCATATATCCCCTCCAATAACCCATTGTACAATCTTGATTTATAATTGTTTCGAGCTAATAGTGTCCGCTAAAACACTTCCCTAGGTCATCACTTCATCAGTCTCAAAACAGAGCAGCTGTCATTTCCATCGTAGCTTCTTCTCTGAAAACTGCTTAGTCTACTTGATGAAATGGTTTTTGTTTTGTTATTCTTCTTCTTCGTACTTTATATTTGTTTCCAGCTAATAACACTTCCCTTAGTTCATCTTCAGTCTCCGAACAGAGCTGCTGCCATTTCCACCGGAGATTCTTCTCTAAAAACAGGCTAGTCCGCTTCATGAACCCATTTTGTCTTTTTGTTCTTCATCCCAACCTAAACTGAAATTTTACGTTTCTTTTTTGTTTTTTTTTTTCATAATTTCAGATGGATTGTGTAAGTGCACTTTTATTGTTTTCCGTCATTTCCGTATCCTTCTCCTTCTCCTTTGTATTTCATGTCGTTTGGCGACAAAGAAACGCTCAAGTCGATCATGAGGCTGCCGTTAGCGTTTCCCAACCAGAGGCTGCTGCAGTTGTAGCTAGCGTTTCCCGACCAGAGGCTAGGGTTGCAGTTTGCGTTCTCCTTTGTATATGTTAGTGTTGATAGTATGCTTTTATATAAAATTTTATACATCAGTGTATATTTCAAACGCATCGCCATCTGATGAGGAAGCAGTGAGGGGAGCAAACAATCGGTTTAAACAACTGCATGGATATGTGTATATTTTTAATGGTTATTTTCTTTTAAAATGTTAATACTATATATCAATGATGACGTTGATATATATGTGTTTTCTTTTTTAACAGTAACAACTAGATTTTTTTAATAAAAATAATAGAATGAATTAGATTTACAACTATTCAACTATTAAGATAAAATTAAAGACAATAATAATCAAAATACTCACGAAACTAAAATATTAAATTTAAAAAAATGAAGAAATATAAAAAAATTTCATTGAGAATAATGATCAACATCAAAAGAATTCAATAACCTTCGTGATTACAATCATCGTTCACGCATCGGTACAGAACCGACGAATCCATGTCGCGGCAGCACCGGCAAACAAGCTCTCCTTGCTATTAATACCGACGAGACAGGAGATTACAACCTAATTGTGATTTAAGAATTTGGGTATTGGGATCTAGGTTTGGATTTAGAGATTTAAAAATTAGGATTTAGAAATTGGAGAGGATGACAAGGGGATATCCATCAATGCACGGATAAGTGGACAACAGCAACAACAACAGCAGAGGCTGATCAACATTAGTTGATACTTTGAGATTAAAAATTTTAAATTTTCAGATTTTTTCAATAATAATAACAAATTTAATTTTTTAAAAATTATAAACACATCACATGTTATATTTTGAGTGGTTGATAATATTTTAATGTCAGTTACGGTTAATGCAATATTTGTAACAATAAGTACCTACATTGACTGAAAAATGTTGAAAATAATTACTTTTTCCAATAATATCATCTCCAAAATTTTGTTCAAATTTTGATCTTTCTTGAATATATCATATTATAATAGAGATGTTTATGAATCGAACCAAATTTAACCATAATATTAACACAAGAGAATCCTTAATCTCATATGAAAATGTACTAAAATGACTGGGATAAAGAGTTCCAACTTCTGCTGTGCATCATTTACGATAGTGTCCTACCAACAGGGTGTTGGGGCAGCCTTAATTGCCCCGAGACATGGGGTCTTCCTTTGGGAGGGCAACGAAATTCAACGGTATTACATTGTTAGCCCTACCAGTTTCTCTACGTTCCTTTAAACCCGAAACAGCATGCTTACCTGCCGGAGTAGAAATCCGGCGGCCAGTTGCTGTTCCAACCATGGCATTGGTTTGACCCAACGGTTTCTTTGGTCTTGAACCAAAGAGTGCCTCTTGTTCTGCAGCAAACTGTTCTTGCAGCCGTTTTTGCTCCTGCAAAGATATAAAGTCCATTTCATGCCATATCCACGTTCTCATAGCAAGTTGAATAACCTCTGATCTCATGAGAGATGAGTGTCATGTCCATATATGTATATCTTCATTCGAACAAAAGAATTCGAAAGGAGCAGTGACAGCGACATAGGATGAGACAAGGTAGCTCTTCATTCAAGATTTACAAATCAATATATACTTGAAAGAGTAAAATTCGGAAGCATACCCGAGATCTATGTTTCTCGTCCTCTCTTGCTTGGCGCAATACCGTATATTCCTCCAACATGTTTAAGAGTGAAGTCTGCAATGATAAACAAGTTTTGAGACTGACCAACAATTCTAAACCAGAGTAAAACTTAAAAGGCAAAATCTGTCAGATGGGGGTAAATATTTTTTGAGATGGGATGATTGCTACAGTGCCAAGGAAGACGCACAGACCACCTGACATCTTCCCCATATTTCATGCAATTGGAACGCCAAGGCTAACAAAGTAACAAAGCAGAAGACGCATTGTGCTCTCGGCGTCTTCCTAGTGGCACTGTAGCAATCACCCCCATCTAAGAAAATATTCCCCTCACCACCCTGTACGAGCCAATATTTTTTCCCAACATCTTATTTGATCGATTTTTCCCTTAAAACAAAATTAAGAATCACAAGCCATGTACCTTGTCATATAGGAAAGGGATTCGTTTCTCGGCCTCCCTAGCTTTTACTTTCACAATCAAATTTTCAACGAGAGCTATCCAACAAAAAAGAAGATTGAGTATTATTATATGATGCCCATTCAACCTTAAATCATATGAATCCAATAAGCAATGCAACCTATCTTTTGGTAAAGTTTAATAATAGTCACATGACCAAGGAACTTCTGTTTTCAATATAATGTTCTTTAGTTAATAGACAATCCATGAAATTATCATGTTTGTGCACATGGTTATAAACATCATACATGTGTCGTGGAACTATAGCACTCACTTTGGCAACATACTTCATGATGTAAGATAATTATAAGCTTACATGGCAATTTGCTGACCAGACTACGAGCTTTCTCTGCACGTTTCAGATTTTTGTGCACTCCTCTTCCTGCACTATACCGGTTTTCATCCTGTATAAAAGAAAAATAATAAAAATAAAAATGGAAGTTATAGCTCCAAAGTCCAAACTATTATTAATATAGTACCAGTAGCTACTGACTAATAGCAGAAAAAAGAACAAAATAAAACTATTATTAATTCTTCTAGAAAGAATAAGCCCCCTTCCCAGTATATATAACTCTAAGCTGACAGTTTAAGAAATATCTTGAAACCACCAATAAGAAATTATGAAATGAAGGGCAAGCCAAATGTTGTCGAGAGCACTACATATATTCTAGGTACTAGAGACCTTTATAATGCTTAAGACGCAAGGTGCAAAAAAGCACTTGCCATAGACAAAGGGCAATATTTGTACATGCCTTTATATGTGCCCATGTGCGTATAAAATCAGCTTAAGATATGAAACAGACACTATCTACAAATCGTGTAAAATTTTATTTTCTTTCGTCAGCCAATATGCATGATTGTCTTATGGTCTCTTGTTTGTTACCGAATACTCAAATATTTAAGTATAGTTTAATATTCTCCGCTTTCTTACTAGTAAATGTACAGAGAATAAAAAAGCATGCCTAGACACACCAGACACATTGCCAAACGTATATGTAACAGCAACATTAAGATGTATGATTATGACACTTTAGAGTGGTTTAATGCAAAATTTTATTTTTCTTTGTTAATCATTATGCATGATTTCCTTTGTGTGCTCATAGCACAGCAGAAAAGCATGCTTGATCAAATGCACCTCACCCAAGAGGATCTAAAGAAGCTTGTGTGCATAGGCACACACCTTAACAACACTGTTAAAATGTTCCTATAATTTTGGGATCATGGTTAAAATTTTGTAGACCATCTTTGGTGTAGCCAACGTAAGGATCTCTAAATAGAAATTCTTTTGAAGACTGAATGCTGCAGAAAAGATTCCAATATTTCCTCAAATAAGATTTACCTTTTCATAGTCATCAAGCCATTTTTCCTCCTCAGATGCATGTTTCCATTTATCTACCTTGTCCAAAATATCCTTCCTGCTTAAAGCTTCCTGTTTGGCTTTTGCAATCTGATCATCCATGCTTGAAAGCAGATTAGACAAATCAACATTATCTGCATACACATGTTGGAAGACTAATCACATAATATATTAAGAAAATATTTACACATCAACAATTGAATCCGTTATTACTAAAACAAAAAGAAAATACGGTAGGAAATATTTTTTTTCCAAAGCACATAACATCAAAGATACCCAAAAAAGTACACCTCACCCGGTAGTTATTAAGACAAACTGTGGGTAACTAGAAATAAAATCAATATATGAAACGAAGATGAAGACTGAATGTATGCTAACAAAAATACATTAAATAGTTTCAAGAAGATGTAGATAATTTGGTATAACCAGATTCTATGAGGTTGATAAGAATCTGCCGAGCTGCATCACTGTTTACATCCATATGGACTCCTCTATAAATTTCCTCAAGTTCATTTTGCCTCTTAAATACCAACTCTTTCATTTTACTAGCCTTCAGCACATTCAAACCTTGAACTTCAACCTCAACCTGAACGTAATAACAAATGTTTAACATTAAGGGAAAAATACAAAAATCTTGTAAAATTGACAGTTCTAATTTAAAAAAAATAGAAGGGGTGCTACCTGCTCAATGATATCTAGACCAAGGGATCCTGGTCTCAAGACCTCATCAACTGATGAAGAAATTAAGGAAGTAGCATTCTCATATCTCTTTCGCACATCAGGTGGTGTATCAAGGAGATCCCATAGTTCTATCAAAGTGCTCCCAAGATATTGAAGCTACATGTAAAACAAAAAGATATAAAAAAATAAAGCTTTAGGGAGGTCCACATACAAATAAAACAAATTGTTAATGCTCATATAAATGCAAGAATAGAAACAAACCAACCCTCATGCAAACTGAAAAAGGGAATCCAATATTATAAGCTTTTGGAGGACAGTCAAAACTGTTAGCTTACAGAAAGAACCTCAGTTCTCAACTTCTATTTAACTACTCAAAAGAATACAGACGAAAATACATTATAAAAGAGAATAATCCTGGTAGAACAGAACAGCTAAAATGAAGACTCTTTTATATTTCCTCGACTCTATGTTATGACATGGATGATTAAGTCTTTCAGCAAACAACAAAAAGCATTCAAGAAAAAAAGTCACTACACTATAGTGCTTGTTTTGACAGCTAATCACCTAACACTGAAAACCAAAATTTGACTTGTAAGAACTTGCAAGCAAGACCTCTTGCTTAATGACTTAACTTGTAAGGTATGAAGAAACCAACTGCACTAGCAGATCTTCAAATTCTGTCGTCTGTCCCTATTCTTAGAATCTAGCTTTCTCACAACCTATACAAGTTACCATCCTAAATCTAGGAACAGCTTACAAAAAACATTTTTTGGACTGTATAGCTGCTCCCTACTTAAGTTGCACAGCAGCTAATAGAACAGAGGATGATCCTTCTCAATAACTTCTGAACATATGGAAGATTTAGAGAAAAGGAAAAAAATCCTTGTGGGCAAGCTATACACATTATCATCCTAAAACCAGGAACACCTAAACAAGACAGCTTTGATGATTGTACGGTTTTTTCCCCTTTGAAGTTGCCCAGCGGCTAAGATCAGAAAATGATCCTTCTCAATAATTATTGAAATTACAGAAGATAGATATAAAACGTCCTTGCTCTTCTAAAAATGGAATTTCATCAATAAAATTGATCACAACATTAAACCTCAACAAATGATTCAATAGTAATCAATTATAAAGTGCAGCAATTCAGGTATCAGTAAAACAAATAAGATACTGGAAAATAATCATCCCAACTCAGACTCTTTTGAAAAGTTTAAAATGCTATAAAACACTAGAGCCTGCCATTTAGAAATCCACTCTCAACAAAAGCTTCAAAAAAAAGCACTAGGTTAATAAGAGACTCAGTTCATCAAGCCGTATGGTCAACCAACAAACATAGCTACACTAGAAAAAAGAAATGCAAGAGAACTTCAGTCAAACTTATTTTTGCACCAATGACCTTACAAGAAAAGGCAATAATCAAATGCACCTAGCTTGAAAATATCATTGTTGTTTTTGTTGTCTAGCACTATGTCTTAGCATGCACCTAGACAACACTGCCCACACCTTAAGTAAGCCACTCCTACTTGAGATTTTGACTTGCATGTAAAATTTAGAGCTGAATGCTGATATACTTTATGCAACACATAATAAGCAAAATCTGCATCCAAATATTGGAGAAGACTTAAGCTTTGCCAAAGAGTAATTTTTAAAATTGTAATCCTTTAAAAAAAACATTTTCTCATTACTATGTATGGTTGCAAATTTTAAATATGATTTTCCATCTCAAAACATCAGTGCATACCATGATTTTTTTTTTTTATAGGAATGGCAGGCCTCGTTAAAATCCCCTTCATGATTAATGGAACATAAAGTGCTCCTTAATCAGCGGAAGGAGGGAAAGAGTGCCTTATAATTCATTAAAACGCATAAATTACATAATACTTAGGGAACAATCATGTAGACTCCCTATACACACCAACCCATAGCTTAAAAATAACAGACCCAAACATAACCAAAAGACTTTAAAGCTAGCCAATACCAGCCTTAGCTAAGGCATCAGCCTCAACATTAGCTGACCTAGCAACCCATCTAATAATGCCTCCCAAACCTCTTAACTTGGTAACAATTTCGTTCACAAGGTCTACATATACATTGGGACATCTATCATAGTTCTTGATCCAGTCCACCGCAATTTTACTATCAGTTTCAACAATCAAGCGATCCTCAAACTGTTGCTGGATTGAAGCAAAGAAAAACAAACCCTTCTTAATTGCCATTAGTTCTATCAAAATGGGAGGACCCGGACTAGAAGCCTCTTGAAAAGACCCCACCACCGAGCCATTCTCCACTCTTAGAATTCCCCCAACTCCACTTTTCCTCCAATCTGCAGTAACAGCTGCATCCACATTCAACTTTATATAGCCCTTTGGAGGCCGAGTCCAGGCCTTAATTTTAATGACTGAAGATCTAGAATTAGCGCAACAATCCCCAAGCGAAGGATCACAAATAAGACAGTCCATTAGAATAAACGTCTCCTTATAGACAGCTAAGAACCATGCAGCCAGCCGACATCTTGCCATAAAGAAAAGATCAGTCTGATCTAAACTCCCCTTATCAAACACAATCGCATTCCTACATTTCCAGATTGTCCAAAACACCACTCCCGGAATGAAAGACCAAATTATAGAACTAGGCACCAAATCTCCCCAAGCTAACAAAAAACTTTTAGCATCAGCTTGTAAAACTGAACAAACTCCCCAAAATCTCAAAAAATTATTCCAAACAGACCACGCGACCGAGCAAGTAAAAAATAAATGAGAAGAGGATTCATCCACCTTCTTACATAAAGGACAAACAACATCAACAATTGCTGAAACTCCTCTCTTCTGTAATTCAAGTTTAACTGGCAGCCTTTGATACACGACCTGCCACATGAAGATCTCCACTCTAGGAGGCACCAAACCCCTCCAAATGTGCTTCATCAAAAAAGAATCTGCTGTCAAAACAGGACAGCAAGACTTCAAACACGAATTAACAGAAAAAATTCCTTCCCCATTCCCTCTCCAAACCATACCATCTGACATCTCATTATTTAGTGTGAAATTATGGATAACATCCATTAACTCAGCAAACTGATCCAATTCCCAATCACTTAAATTCCTTCTCAATTGAATATGCCAAACCCAAACTGAAGACCGAAACTCCCCAAACTCATTAAGCTTCCCATTTTTGTTTATCGACAGAGCAAACAATCTTTGGAAAACCACTTTAAGAGTGACATCAAGCGCCCAACTATCAAACCAAAATCTGATACTCCCACAATTCCCCATCCTAACATTAAACAAACTTCGAAACTTAGTTCCAAATTGATCCTCATTGAAATGGTTCTTAACCATCGATTTCCAGATCCAAGAAGCATTAGTAGGTAGTTTTTCATTGAACGACAAAAAACTAGAGTCCAAATTATATTTACTGCAGATTACCTTTTTCCACACTGAATCGCAGTCATTAGCAAACCTCCAACTCCATTTCCCAAGTAGAGCTCTATTCATAAAATTAAGATCGACAACACCAAGACCACCCACCCGTTTATCAGAGCAAACTGTCGACCAATTAACCCAATGAATTTTTTTGGCCTCAACCTCTCCTCCCCATAAAAATCTAGCCATGATAGCATTGAGTTTATCATATACCGAAACAGGAATCTTGAACGAGGACATATAGTAGGTTGGTAACGCACACAAAACTGCCTTTAATAAGACCAATCTGCCTGCCATAGACATTGTCTTAGCCTTCCAGCCTGTTAATCTGTTGTAAAACTTCTGCACTACCGGATCTCACATCTGCTAGGAATTTCTCTTAGCACCAAGAGGAAGCCCCAAATATTCGGACGGGAAATGTCCTACCAAACAACCTATAGCATTAGCCCACTGAGTAACCACTTCCTCAGAAATATTAATCCCAAATAATTTACACTTAGTGAGATTCAATTTAAGGCCTGACATAACTTCAAAAACTCGAAGAACCCTCTTTACATTAAGAATCTGAGTCTTCGATGCATTGCAGAAGATGATGAGATCATCTGCAAATTGCAGATGAGACAAATTAACAACATTCTCGTCTTTGCCAACTGTCAGGCCACAAAACAGGCCTGACTGGACTGCTTGGATAATCAAAAGATTAAGCAATTCACCAACAAGATTAAACAGCAAAGGGGAGAGGGAACAGCCCTGTCTAAGACCTCTAGACAACGAAAATTCATCCGTAGGAACACCATTAACCAGCACTGACATCGAAGCTGTAGTGACACAAGTCCGAATCCAACTACACCATTTTGATCTGAAACCCATTTTATCCAAAACTTTAAAGAGAATGTCCCAATCTACCGTATCATAAGCCTTCTTAAAATCCACCTTAAAGACACAAGCCTTCAAACCTTTCTTCCTCCATAAGTCGATACCTTCATTAGCAATAAAAGAACAATCCAAAATTTGTCGACCCGGAATAAAAGCAAATTGTGAGTCACTGATAATATCCTTGATGCAACCTCTCAACCTTCTCGACAGACACTTGGACAGAATCTTGTACATCCCTCCTACGAGAGAAATAGGTCTTAAATCATCCAGACCCCCAATATTAGAACCCTTCGGGATTAAGGTAATGAAAGAATGATTAATGCCATTCTCCCACTCCTTTCCCAAAAAGAAATTATGGAAAAACTTCAGAATATCCCTCTTCAAGTGAGGCCAGAATTTTTTGAAAAAACCCATATTCAACCCATCTGGCCCAGGAGCTTTGTTACTATCACACGAGTTTATGGTATCCCAAATCTCTTCTTCCGTAAACTCCTTCTCTAACAACAGACTCTGCTCCAGAGAAATTCTTGAGAAGTTCAAATTAATATCCTCCACTTCCAAGGTAGAACGATGATTAAAAGCTTTAAAAAAATGTTCTCTGACAGTAGACTTTATAATAACCGGATCTTTGATAATTTTACCATCAACATGAATTGCATTCATAGAATTCATCCTCCTCCTAATGGAAGCACTTGTGTGAAAAAACTTAGAATTCCGGTCTCCATCTTTCACCCACTTTTCTCTTGAATTTTGAAACCAAATTTGCTCCTCAACTCTGTAAAGTTTCCACAATTCATTTCTCCATTTCCTCAACTCTGTCGCATTGACATCTACATTGGCACTCTGATTTTGCTGCAAACTTAATTCAAACTGATGAATTTTATCTTCCAGAGCAGCAATATCCAGCCGTGGAAACTGTTTCCTTACCCCAGACCAGCTCTTAATGGCTGACTTTGTATTCCTTAGAATGCTCAAAATTCCAGCTTTTTTCTTCTCCTCCTTGAACTCCTTAATAGACTCAACCACCTTCTCTTCAAAACCATCCTCAGACATTAAATAATTGAACAATCTAAAAGGCCTCTTCCCCCAATTATCTTCCCCACTCTCAAGAACAATAGAATTATGATCCGAGATAGACTTTGGCAGTAAAAATTGGTTGATACAGTGAAATTCTTCTGAGAAACTGACATTAACCAGGAACCTATCTAGTTTAACAATAGTTGGAACATCCCGATTGCTGCTCCATGTAAATTTCCCCCCTATTAAAGGCAAATCAATAAGACCCGTTTGCTGAATAAAAAGCCTAAAGATTTCCATCGAGTTCCTATTTTGAGCCATACCATCCTTCTCATCCTCTGTTAAGTAGGCATTGAAATCTCCTCCCACGCACAAAGGGACATTGGAACCATTAATGAACAGTCCCAGTTCTTCAAAAAACCCTGCCTTCTCTTCTTCCACAGAAGGACCATAGACGTTTATAAACCCACATTTAAGTTGGCTGGACTTAAATTTCCCGACCACTGCTAAAAACCTCTTATGAATATGATGCTCTTCTAACACAAAAACAGACTCATCCCAACAACTAAAAATACCTCCTGAAGAGCCTTCTGCTGGAGACACAACAAAACCTTGCAACTTATTCAATCCACTCCTTAAAAAAGCGAAAGGTAACTTCTCAAGTTTTGTTTCTTGAAGAAAAAGAAAAGATGGTTTTTTCTCTGAGATTAATTTCTGAACAGCTCTCTGCTTTTCTTTTTTACCCAACCCCCTAACGTTCCAAGACAAAATAATAAGCCTTTGCATTCTAAACTTATATGACAAAACCAGAAAAAACCTATGAATTGCCCCCGACCTCAGCTGACCGCACTCGAGCCTTTTTCCAAGTCCATAATCTTTTGTAAAAAAGCATCTTTCCCTTCCTTGAAAGAAACACCCAGAATCTTACTGATTTCCCATGTAGCAACAGCTTCTTCCAACAACACAGGAAAAGCTGATGAGGATAATGTGGACACACTGGCATGTTCCACAGCTTCCCTAAAGAGTGATCTTCTAAATCTCCTATTAAGACTCCTCATCCTTGGACCACCATTGTCTCTTTCTGAAGACCCAGCAGCTACTGGAATTTCAGAATTCCCACCCTTAGAACTTGCAGCCCTACTTAACTCCTTACTGGACTCCCTTCGAGAACCCTTCTTACAAGCTTGCACGTCTTTAATCCACAACTTTCTTCTCTTAGACATGCAGTAAAACCTCTTGAAACTCCTAACTAACTTCCAGCGAACCGGGCCGGACTTCACAAAACTTGCAGACCGAGGCTGTGAACCACCTGATGAACTTGCCACCTTAACCACTTTAACAGACCCCATACCATCTTCAATCCCAGCTAGATTGTTAATCTTATCTGCAGCAGAACAGAATTTTTTGCCAATAACTGGGTCCAGACCACTCAACACTGGACTTGATGTACCTATCCGAAGCCCATTCTCCCAGTCAACTTTATCATGCTCAAGAGACTCACCCCCCATACACATTCCACCTTCTATTCCTCCAATAAAGCCTTCCGACTTTCCATGCTGGGTGGAGACAACCTCTGCATCTTCCACTCCTCTACACTTGTCCACCGAATAATTAAATATTGAATTTGAACACCCATTGAAACCTTTCCCATTTCCCAAGACATTGTCATGGTGGGAGCCTTGGGCCCATTCCAACAGCCTAGAATGAGCTCCTGACTTGTCCTGACAACCCACGTGCCAACCATTCTGCACCTGAACATCCTCTTGACTGCACTTAGCGGAACTCCCCGCCCCAGGAACCTCTGGAACATCCTCTTTCACCAATCCTGACAACTCAGGAAAAAAATCATCACCACATTCCACCTTAATTTTGATCAGGAATTTCCTCCCATAAGTGTTCACGCTCATATGGTCAGGGATGTCAAAAGGACTGACGACCCTAAGCAGCAGATGCGCCACCCTACAGTCCACTCTTTGGGCAGTTTCATCTTTGATCTTCACTAACTCCCCCCACCTAGATGCCAAACTAGTAAAGAAAGGAACGGACTAGCAATTTAATGAAACTCCAATAATGGAAACCATACAAAAAGGTTGGGGGATGCCACCCTCATCCAAAACAGGTTCCAAATACTCAAACCAGAAAGATAGAGCTTCCCAGTTTCCTTCTGTCACCCTTCTTTTTTCCTCTGCCGACTGGAAAACAACCAGGCAAGCATTTTTTGCAAAGCCCCATCTAAGGACCTTAACATCGAAACCCTCATTTCTTAACGCTTTCTGCACAAAATCTACTTCAAATATTGCTTTGCAAATCCCGGTAAGAGACGATCTCAACCAGACCCTATCATCCACCGGAATAAAAACATCCATAGGTTTTCTCCTCTCCTCCATAGGTAAAAAATTGTCCTTCTTGACAACCTCTGGAACCTTGTTCACCCCAACAACCGTATCCTTAAAAGTCCTACCATCATAAAACCTACTCATCAACTCCATCTTCCTAGCCCTTTCAGTATTAGACAAAACTCTTCCCACATTTTCCCTCCTTGATGCCCCACTAGATGAACCATCTACCCTCTCATCTACCTGCCTCCTCAACGGAGAGGCTTTCTGATACTTAGCTACAGACACTGAGATTCTCCTTCCATCAAACAGGACATTGTTCATATTTTCCACTGCATTACACAGATCCTCCTTACAAGCGAAGTGGACAAAAGCAAACGTACTAACCTTATACTTCGGTCTGTTATTAAAAAGAGGAATGAACACCTTAATAACTTTCCCATAAACACTAAAACAGTTCCATAACTCACTACGACGCACTTGCTTACTAAGATTGTCAACAAAAGCTGACCATAAAACTCCTCCATGGACCTCTCTAAACTTGTTAACAGAAAACTTGCTTTTCGAAAACTCATTCTCTCTCTCTCTAACTTTCTGCATTCTCTTGTTTTGTCTCAGTGCATACCATGATAGCAGAAACTTTGTGAAGGAAAGAAAACTAAATTAATTATTAAGCAAGACTAAGCACCAACAGGTACAGAGATCCATATAAAGCGAGCACCAACAGGTACACACATCCATATAAAGCTCCAACAGGTACAAACATCCATATAAAGCCCCAACAGGTACAGACATCCATATGCATAAGATTATACAAATACATATGGGGGTATCTACTTAGGAGACATGCAATGTGCCAGATTGCCAATACATGAAAAAGATTGATGAAATCCTTAAGACGTCACCTTTTGTAACCTTTTTTGCTTCTCTTGCTGCAGTGAATTAACGACGCCGGTCAATTTAGCAAGAGTATCATTGCTAATGCTCTTTGATTGACCGTTTGCAGGAAAAATCAGGCTAGTATGAATGTCGCTAACTCTCTTCGAGAAATCAAAGGACATCACCACTGACAGCTCATGAATCATACTAATATGGCTGTTAACTTTTTGTAGCCGGATAATCTAGAGATTCGGTTAAAAGAATAAAATTCAGTAGAATAGACAAGCCAGAGAACTATAAATCCAGATGATAGATATCAACAAACCTTTTCACTCTGAAGCTCCTGTAGATGAGACTTAAGCTCCTCAAATTTCTTGACTGTCAAATCACGCTCATCTACTTCTGGATCAGAAGGCAGCATAGACTGACCAGTGCCTGCTATTTCTGCACAGTTCTGTGCAATCTGTGACTGGGTTTCAGTAAATTCCTTCATTCTTTGCTTTTTCTTCGACCTCAGCTCCTCCAAAACAAATCTTATATAAGATATTTGCTGCTTGAGTGTGCCCTTTCCCTTCTCAGATTGCAGAAATAAGCCACGTTAACAGAAAATATGAAGGGCAAAAAAGCTATAAAGTGGATATATCCTAAGATAGTTGCTAATGTATTGTTTCTTATAATGAATTTTACAGGTAACATGGACTGGTTATGCAGATCATACTATACTACTGTGCTCACCACATCCTCAATAAGCTCTTAAAAGAAAAGATCATTTGTAGTTTCTATCCATGTCCCACATTATCGTACACATAAAACATCATCTTTCCCATGCTATAACAATTTTTCTAAGATATTCTTTTTCTTTCCAAGCCAAATAACAAAAAAAAACTTAAAATCTTGAGATTTAAGAATATTATCAGAGAAACCCAAACAGGTCCGAAAGCAGGTACTTGCTGCTTAAGAGTGTCATTTTACTATTCAAAATTCACAATCAGGAGGAGGAATTCAAACAAGAACCATAAAGCAAATACATACCCTAAGATAGTGTATATAAAAGTTAATTTTCTGTCTATACAATTGTACTTGTACAACAAGAATGCTGAGCCTTTTCTCACTAAGGTGGATATTCCAGCGTGTTGTCAGAGCATGTCCTTAGTGTAGTAAAAGATAAGGACTATTTTTAATAATTTCCATCCATACACTATTCAATTTACGAAAAAAGAAAAAAGGAGCAACTTTTTCTGGTGAGTGGTGACTCTATAGGTTTTTTACAATAATTTTATTATTTTCACATTCGAATATGCACCATTTTCAACTGCAGGAGAAGTAGCACCAACAAACAAAAACAATGGTTGTTGCTGTAGCTACTTTCATCAACTATTTGTTTCGCTTCTTAAAGGGCAGAGAAAAGAAATATTATAAAATTAAATAAAAGTACATAACTAAAAGGTAACACCAAACTTACCATAACTATTTTATATAAAAGTCAAATTATGCAGTTTATCTTTAAATAATTACTAGAATATTATTCGCTTCTGTATTCAAAGCAGCAAGCATTATAAAGTGCAAGCTTTTGTCTCTAAAATAGAGGGATTTAAACTGCAGTAAGAGTCTCATTCTGTCATAGACACATTTTTATCATGTTTATGGCGGTTGTGCACATGATAAATGCTACTGTGGTCAATTGCAAAAAAAACATCAACCATGATATCTAGTCACAAAATGAAGATAGCCAAAAACGCAAAATAAAAGCCATGACATTAGATCCTTTGCCTTAATGCATTACTATTATTTTTAATTAATAATATCTATGTTGAGAAAGTGATTTATTGAAAAAAAACAACTACAACTACAATTCCATAACAATAACAACTTTAGAAAGAAAAGAAAAGAAAAGAAAAATGAACAAACCCTTGAGGAGGAGAAGGAATGCTCTCCGAGGGAGGTGACGAGTTTGGCGATTTCGGATTCAATTTGAGCCAAAGAGTGATGCAAATCAGCCTTGCTCTTTCTCGTCGTTTCCACTTTTCTTCTATAAATGTCCAGACACTCTTGTTCCAATTCCAGCAGCATCTTATCCCTTTCGACGTCACTTTCCCCCATTTCATCCCAAATTACCTATTAACAAAATCAACAGCAAAATCAACCCTTAGTTTGACTTTCTCAGTCAAAATTTTCGAAAAATCCAAACAAAAAAGTGAGAGTCGGAGAACAAAACCTGCAATTCTTGAAGGAGAGAAGCGCAAATGGTCTGAGAATGAGAGGGAGGGAGAGACGGCGGCAACGTAGTCATATTTGGGGAGGAAAACAAAAACATGAAAAATCCACGAAATGCTTGAAACCCTAAGAATTAGAGAGGAAATTGAGGAACGAGTGAAATGCGAAATGGGAACGTTACGAATCGCAGTTTTGAATTTCCATGAGAAAAGATTGGGGGATCACATTTCTGATTTCTCCTTTTTTTTTAATACTGAAATAAAGAGTGAGAAAAAGAAAACAACATATAGAGAGGAGCGGTACGGAAATTTGAGTTGTTTTGGCGCGAAACTCTACGCACCCGTATTTAATTGTCTTTTCGGTCAAATTCATTAATTAGTCCTTGTACTATGCATAAATATGCATTTAGGCGCCTACTCTAATTTGATTATTTTTAGTCCTATAATTTTCAAATTTTCAAATTTCTGTCTTGACTCATGCTTCAACCGTAAAATTTCTTACTCAAATTTTACTATTAATCTCAAGATTATGCATAAGGTGTAAATTTAGTTCATTTGGTTCAATTTTATCATTTTAAATCCATTAGTTATATTGTTCATTTGTTATTTAAGTCAATATTAAAATTTAAAAATACAATACTTGAAATTAATCAAATTATATTTTAAAGATTAAATCCATAACTTATATATGATATATGTATTAATGACATAATTAAATTGTTTTGTCCTCCTGGCTCTAAGGTTTCACCTTGATTAATTTGAATCGACATGCGTTGTAGGTCTGGCTTTAGTGGGTGAGTCTCCCAACAAGGATTTTCAGCATACACAATGACTCAAACTCAAAATCTTACTTAAGCGATATCAAGTTGCTTACCAATTAAACCAACCTCTTTTGATTAGAATTTTTTTTTTTTGTTATCTGAATGAGTGATCAATTTTATAACTTGATTTTTATTTTTTTTACTTAAATATATCAAGGGCTTTTTTGTTACTTAAATATATGACTAATGAGATATATTTTTCAAGGGTTTTTTTCTTATTTAGGTTTGGGTGTAAGAGTTTAATTGTTTAAAGGGTTTTTTTTAATATGTAGCTTAAGTTTTTTAAATAGAAATAGGGTCTCATTAAAAACCACCTTCATAACCATTAAGCTCCTAGAAACTCAATGATCATAGGAAGGAGGAAAAGAGTGCCCAAAGATTTATTACTATAGCAATAGATACAACTAGTTCAGAACATAAAATACAACATAAAAACCCTTTAAACCAACTCCAAAGACAACCACCAAATACAAACAAAACACAAGCCCTTGTGCTATCCTATGCCTGATTTAGCTAAACGATCAGCTTCCACATTTATACATCTGTTAACAAACCTAGTAGTTACATTGAACTGACTAACTAACTTGGCTATAACTCTGACCACTTGAACATAAAGATCTGGACATGTCTCCAGATTGAAAATTCGCTTTAGCGCATTATAAGAATCACTCTCTAGAATTAGACTTCCTTTATCCCTCCAAACCGATTTCAAAAACAAATCTAACCCAGCATGAATTGCTTTTAACTTAGCAAGGATTGGGGGGCCTGGTCTAGTCGATCTTGAGAAAAACTCCAACCTTTTACAATCTGCATCTCTTAGCATACCACCAATACCACTGCATCTACAGTCAAAATTAATTGCCCCATCAATATTAAGTTTTAAGAAACCCGGGGGTGGGGACACAACTTAGACTCGAACAAAACAGACCTCGAAGGAATACGATGATGATCAGCCAAAGTTAAGTCTCCCTTCTCGAACATATTTATGAATTTTTGAAAGGTTATATATTTATGATTTAGTGTTTGAGTTATTATATTTAAAGTTTAAAGTTTTAATATTATAATTTTTAATATCTATAGATTATCTAACTTAAAACTTATACAATAAAAATGATTAATTTGAAGTAAGACTGAAAAATGTATGTATTAAACAAATGCAATAAAATGATTGATTTGAACAAATAAAAAAATAGAAGACTAAAAACTCAATTGAAATAAATACGAAAATTTGTTTATTTATATGGTAAACTATACGCATAGTCTTTTATATTTTTGGTCAATCTAATTTTGATTATCGGTTCATAAAAAGAAAGTGATTTTAGTCTCTTATATTATCGATTCGTTTGATTTTGATCCTTTATTCATTAATTTTCGTCAACCCACTAACGAAAATTTGACTTGAAAATTAAAGAATTTAAAAAAAAATCCACGTATTTTAACACTACATATCAAATGCCCCTCACTACTAGAAAAACACTGACCATTTTTTATTTTTAATTATCAACTCAAATTTTCGTTAATGGGATAATAGGAGTTAAACACTAAGGAATTAAAGTCAAACAAACCAACAATGTAAGAGATTAAAATTATTTTTTAATACTGATGACAAAAATTAAACGGACTGAAAACATAAAAGGCTATCCATATAATTTGCCATTATTTATAATATATTTATCTTTCTATGGTAAAAGTATTATTAAATAATTTTTAATAGTAAATTTTTGCAGACAAAATTTGGGCAAAATCACACAAATAAGGAGGTGATTTTTTCCTCAAATAAGAATCATCAGTTTATTTTCTTAAATAAGGTGTTCTGTATGGTAAATTGGGGAAGATGCATTGATCACACGACATTTTCATTGTTGAAAAAATTAACTATTGTACAACGAATCATTAATACTGATTGAAAAATATAAATAAAAAATATAAGTGAAGAACCGATCAACTATGTCGTGGTATTAACCACCGTCTTAGAAGCAAATTCGTCTCGATGTGTGTAATTGCTACAATTGACAAATGACCCCTTGAGATTAACATGATTCTCCAAATTCCGTACCCATAAAGATGAAGTGGACTCTGATAATACTGTTATTCTCTCAACTCAAAACAACACTTATAAAAAAATATCAAAAAGAGTGTTTCTGAAACAGATAATTACTTAGGAACAATGTATCAAATGAGAAGAGAAACCCACTATTTATAAGCTAAATAGTGAGAGCAAAATTGACATTCAATTCAACAACATTAATATACTTTTTAAAATGAAATTAAATAGCAATAACAATGTTTTTATCATTAACAATATTTTCATAAAGACGCATAAAAGATCTAACGACTCCTCAACTTCCATGCGACTCTAGATGTGAAAATAATAATATCGTTTGTTGGTGTCTTTGAATTGATGAAAGAGCTAATCAGAGATGATAAAGGAATTGATGAAAGAGCTAATCAGAGATGATAAAGGAGCATACACCATTAATAAAGTTTAGAAAGATGAAGAAGACAAAAACGAGTCCTAATACGGAAAGACAATTATCATTCGAACATCTTGTAAAAAAATATCAAATAATTTCGACATCATTCAATTGACACTATAACCTTCATTTTATTTAAAATTAAAAATAATAATTTACCTATCACCTTATATTAAAAAATTTATTTTATCATTACATTATCCCAGAATTTTGCCTGAAATTGCCAAGGTAGCATTCTATTTATTTTCCCGTGCATATCCAATTGCTTTTATCGTCATTTCTTACTTATTAAGCAAAAGTAATTGGCATGTGTCAAATTGTCGCACTTTGTTCTCCCTTGGCCCATGCCAAATCTAAAAAAAAAACAGAAAGGACAAAGCTTTGGTTCAAAAAACACTGTAAAATTTTCCACAAATTTGTGCAAAAAAATTGTTTAGTTCACGCCCAAATGCAAAACCCCAATTTTCGACAACCCCTTTTATTTTCGATAGCAATCCAAATTCTCTTCTTCAACAATTTCTCCACTGAATCAACCTTCTGTTCTGAACCAATGGCGACAACCACCACTTTGGGAGGAGTCTGCCCTTCCCATGGATCCCAAAAGAGCTCCGAGCTCGAAAACCTTGCTCGCTTTGCTGACGACGAGCACAACAAGAAAGAAAACGTGATGGTCAAGTTCGTGAGAGTTGTGAAAGCAAGCGAGCAAGTGGTGGCTGGGATGCTTCACTATTTGACGGTGGAAGCTATCGACGCCGGTAAAAAGAAGCTTTATGAGGCCAAAATTTGGGTTAAGCCTTGGGTGGACTTTAAAGAATTGCAGGAGTTTAAACATGCTAGAGATGCTGATTATTCCTCTTGATGTAAGGTATTTCTACCTTTAATTGATTGTGGATATAAGAAGAAAGCAAAATAACCTGTATAAGTTAATGGCTCAAAGAGATGGCTTGGTGGTAGATGTAAAGGTGAAATGGATGGCTATTTATGTTATGAGAAAAGGTAGTGGAAGTATGTTGATATGGCTATGGTATGGTGATGAAACAAAGGATGGTTGGTGAGAATAATATCTTAGAAAGACCAAGGAAGAATTAGTGCTACAATGAGCAAAGACCCAGCCTTACAAATCTCTCTAAGGGGTGGTAACAAAGGACTTGGGCCCACTATCTATAAGGAGATAGGAACCACAAGTATCAATGAATAGGGGTTGACACCACAAGTAATTAACTTACTTGATAAGTCGATAAAAGTTACAAGGACTTGAGAAAAGAGAATAATCTCACTTATATTAAATGAAAAGTGTGTTTTTACAATGGATATAGCCTAGCCTATTTATAGGAAATAAAAAGGAAATAACCAATAGATAAGTGATTATTCGGCTAGGTACATTCCTTTTAATTAAAAGACATAATTTAATTAAGAAAATGTAGATGAATGGACTTAATTATTCGGCCAAAATGAATGAATATGCCCCTTGGCCGAATGATCTTCTTGATGGTTCATCTTGGCGCCATTTTGAAGAGTTAAATTGCTTTGGTCGAATGGTTATGCAACCATTCACATTGGCACCTAATTGATCCACATGCGTGGCACATGGGGTGGCTGGTCATGAGGCGCTCACATGGGGTCATAGGAAGCTTGTGGTGTTGTCTCGTCCATGGAATGAAAATAGGCAGCAACTAGGCGTGACTTAGCTTTATGCAAGCTTACAATGAGTTAGCTAGGCAAGTAAGGGCTAATGTGTTGCAAGCTTTTTAGCCATGACTTAATAAACTTCGTAGCATCTCCTTTAGATATGTTCAGCTGCACTTGGCATCACTTATAGCAACTTGACTTCAAATGGCTCATCCAGCTAGGTTTAGCTACATGCTAGCTCTTCTAGCTAAGTTGAGCTTTCCATAAGTCTCCATGAGTTGATATAACCTTTGTGAGCTAATTGGGAGCTGTATATTGATGCCAAATAGTCCACCAAGCTACCATAATATGTGTTGCCCATTGATGTATCTACATGTGCAAAAAAAACAAGGTAAATCAAAGGCATTGAGCTTGTATGATCCAATTACCTTGATGTCGTGCATGAATATGATCTTGTGGGATATGAATGCATGTCATGAGCTAAGTACATAATGATATAACATATGTAAGCTAATAACACATGTATGCTAATGTATAAGACTTAGGTTCTGAAATGAATGCAAATGAGCTAATAAAACATAGATTTAAAGCTAGTGAGCTAATGTAAACATAACATGAGCTAGAATAACATGACATAAATTAATGAATGAATGAATACATGCTGCCATGATATGTAAATGATATGCAAACATAATATAAAGCTAATTAAAGATGGAAACATATGTTATGCATGAAAATCATATAGTATGCAAGTGAATGATAACATATGATTATTCAAGCATAGTTTAAGGAGCAAAAGTATGCTTATAACATTAAGTGATGCATATAGAAGATAATAAAGGATAAAGTAAGGAAGAACTCCCTTAAAATCAGCTTTGAATAACATCCATGGTGTGATCAAGTCATGGAGAAAGTTGGAGCTAGTTTGTATCGTATCACCTCTTCTTTCACTGCTTCGAATCTTGGTGCCAAGAAAGGTTGTTTGTTCTCAGCTTTTCTATTTACTTTTTTTCCTGTTAGGAAATTACTGGGTTTTCTTTCAAATGGATATTCATTGATTGTTGAAAGTAGTGCTAAAAGTTTAAACCAAAAAAAAAAAACATTGGCGAAATGGAAATGAAAAGCAATGATCAAACTTTGCCTTACTGTTTAGGAGAGAAATTATATGTTAGTGTAGGTTTTAAAGTCTCTTGAGATTACTGTGGGCTTAAAGAAATTAGGAATTTGTTTATGGTTATAATTCTATGTTTCTGCAAATGGATTTTGTTTTCGAGGGCTATGCTCGAGATGCGTTTTGCATGTGTCCCACATGGGTATATCCAATTGTTATTGTAATACCCTAATTTTGTCCTAAAATAAAAAAAGGGAACAAAATCCAGAGACTAAGCTCCAATTTACCCATTTGTAATAGTAGGGGCTTTAAAATCCAAAAACAAAGCAGTATACAACCCTCCTTTTTGTAAGTTCAGAAAGAGCAAATAGAAACAGAGGGAGCTTTCTCCTGCAAGTTTTTTTATTTCCCATTTTTATGCTTATTTTCTTTCTTTTAGCATTAATATGTGAAATGTGGGAGGATGTTGGCCTTGTTCGCCGGTTAGTCACCGGTTTAGGGTGGTTCGAACGGTGAAGTTGAGTCTTTGTTTATCGGTTTAGGGTGTCAGTATGTGTTCAGGGGTAGTTTTGGGCTTCTTTTCTTTTCGTGTTTGCTTAGGTCTAAGGTCTGACCACCAATGGTGGTTGTCGGGGGTTGGTTCTCGCCGATCTATGGTGTTGATGTGTTCGGGGTGACTCTCGGTTGAGGTTATATTGAAGATATGAGTAGGAATTTTTGGTCGAATGAGAAGAAAAGAGAAGGGAGTTGAGCGTTTGGTCTTATCCTACTGACATACGGTGGCGACGAGACATAGAGGCTCTCGGCCTGTGAATGGTCGGTGTTGTGAACGTCGGAGCTGGTGACCTTTCGTTGGTTTGGGGCTTGTTGGAGTTTTGGTTGCTTTGGGGCTTCGAAGCTTCAGTGAGCTTTTTGGCCAAGTTCAAGTGTTTCCTAGGGGGAAACATTTTGGTTTAAGAAAAAGGGTAAATCAAGAAAGTCCCCCTATTTTAGTGTTCTTTTATGTTTTGGGTCATCATTTTAGGGGTTAATCACCCGTAAGTCCCTAAATTTCTACCTTGTTTTCACATATTGATCACTATGCATATGTTGCTTTATTTATTCTGATTTTAACCCCCTGTTTTGCTTTGTTTTATTTTGGTCACTGATTTATGCATTGTATTATTTCGAATTAACTGCTAACTTTTATTTTATCGCACCTTAACCACTGACTTTTATTTTCTTGCATTCTAACCATTATTTATTTATTTATTGTTTCTCTTATTACTCGACCTTGTGGTGATCCGATCCGAGGTAAGATCCACATTATTATGGTTCGAACTCTGCTATCCACTAACTTTTTTATTTTATTTTATTTTATTTTATTTTTATATATTTGTTTTCATTATTCGATTCGACCTTGTGGTGACCTGATCCTGGGTAAGATCCACATTATTATGGTTTGGACTTTGCTAACCACTAACTTTTTTATTTTATTTATTTTATTTTATTTTTATATATTTGTTTTCATTATTCGATTCGACCTTGTGGTGACCCGATCCGGAGTAAGATCCACATTATTATGGTTCAGACTCTACGAACCACTAACCGCTAACTTTTCTAACTTACTAACATTCTAACTTTTATTTTATTGTTCATACTAACATACTGACTTTTTTATTTTTATTGTTCTTACTAACTCACTAACATTTTTATTTTATTGCACAAACTAATCCTCTAACTTTTAAATTTACGCAATGTATTTCTGTTTTTTATTTATCTTTCAGTACTTTAAATTTCAGTGCTTTATTTTTCCGCCCTTTAATTTTCCAGCATTTTTTCAGTCGTTTTAATTTTCTGTATTTACCTTTTACCATCTTAACTTACACTTTGTTTTGTTTTAGTCACTAATCTTGCTTGTGATATGTTTATATTTGTTGTATATACTTTTCAATTTTATGTTTAAACCTTATTTATTTACTCCCTCATTTGGATGGTATTTTTAATCTTGGTAGTTTGTCTAGAAAGCTTGTATGTTGGTCCATTATTTATGTGCATATTTAGATTATTATTCACACCTTATTTTTATATAAATTATCATTGTTTTCTTATATATGTAAATAATAAAATTTCATTGTGAGAAAAATCTATTAAAACATCTCCCAACTACAAGGGAAGGTGTCTTTTCGAGGTTTTTTCGCACAAACGTTTTTTATTCGATAGTTTTCTTTTGATTATTTTTGACCTCGTTCCATTTTTATTTTGTTTTATTTTATTTTATTTTTGATATGAGGAAAATGTGAGATAATGTCTTTTTGTGAGGGGAATCTATGGGAAAATCTCCTAACTATAAAGGAAGTGCATTCCTGAGGATTGTTCATACAAAAGGGCATTTTTTATCCGAACATCTCTAAAATTTAATATAATATTATACTCTTTTAAACTATATCATCTCTAAAATTAAAGAAACATTGTTTTGTAAGGGGAAACCATGAAAAAGTCTCCTAACTATAAAGGAAGTGCATTTTCAAGGAATTTTCATACAAAATGATGTATTTTTCACTTGTAAAAGTAATTATAATTTTCTTTGATTAAATAAATAGACTTATCCTATAAAATATATTTTGGGCTCTTTTAATTTTTGTACTCAAATCATTTGTCATCTAAATTTTATTTCCTTATTGGCAAAAGTATTGTTGTTTTAGTTTTTTTTCAAAAATTGACATCTTTTAAATAAATTCAAATAAATATAAGGATCATACTTTAAATATATTTTTGAGTTTATAAATTCCCAACATTTAAACATCGTATAATTGTTTAGGTACCAAACTTGGGTGTTGTGGGGGTGCTCATCCTTCCCCACATGTAATCGACTCCTGAACTCTTAAAAAGGAATTTTTGGTAAAACAAACCATTTTTCGTCTTTTAAGGTTTTCGACCTACCTAACTTAAAGGTTGGTGGTGACTCCAAAATCAAATTGTTTTCAAAATTACATTTCATCACCTTCCTCGAATTAATTTGTTAAAGTCTAACGGATCCTCGAGGGAGACGTTACGACAGATTGGCGTCTCCGCTGGGGACTTAGAGAGTCAGACCGTAAACGATTATATGTTGTTTTTATTATTGGGAATTACAAACT